AGGGAATGGAAATTAGAAGGACAGGTATCTACAAACTGACGAGCTCTGGCTTGTATTCATTTAGACATTTATTAATTTAAAAAATCTACTCTTGATTACATCTCACTGCCAGCGTTGATGTCTGCTCACAAGGCTGATCCCAGTGCTTTGTACAGATTTTCTTGGAATTTGTTCTGATATTCACCCAGCTCCTAAGGCAGTAACTGAAAACCACTCACAAGTACATCCTGGGTACGCACCTGGCAAAACAGCTGAAAAAATAGAAAGAAAACCAAAAGAGTTTACAAGAAATTAATTACGAATTAAGGTCTGGAATCTGATGACAAAGAAGTTTGACAATTTTCAGGCTAGGGTATTGCAACAGAGATAGAGATAAGAAATTGCTTTGAACTTTTTTTATTGTTGTTGTCCCCTGAAATAAATCCAAGGAAATATTTCTCTCTTGAAGATTTTTAGCTGATAATCCATCCCATACTGGTTTATGGTCTGATTTTAAAGATATCAGTGTACAAGCTGAAAGCCCTTCTGCCTCTTGATTGCTGAGAAAGATAAATATCAACCTCATGCTGTCAACAAAATGTACATTGGGAAAGAAATTACCCAGTGTCACAGCCTGGGCTATTTTCCCCTAAATCCATTAGTCCCAAGTACTTCTGTTATATATTTTCCCACTTGCTGCATTTTATGAAGTTCCCCACTGTTGGTGTGACTTTTAAATAGCTAGAATAAAATTGCCAAATCCTCACTCTTTGGGGTTTTTTCCATGCCATTGCTGAAGATATTTATAAAATTCATCCCCACATGGAAGACTGAGCAATCACAGCCCTGACATCCCCATCCTGCTCCACACTAAGGCAGAAGTGAGATGTAGATGCAAACAGGGAAGGGATGAGAGCAGCAGGGACGGGCTTGGCCAGAGGAAATGAGAGACACAAAGTTTGTTAGAATCACAGAATCACTGAATTATTTAGGTTGGAAAAGAGCTCCCAGACTACTGAATCCAGCCTGTGAGTGATCCCCACCTTGTCAGAGCACTGAGTGCCACATCCAGTAATTCCATGGACACTTCCAGGGATGGAAACTCCACCTCCTCCCTAGGCAGCCCCTTCCAACTCCTGACCACCCTTTCCATGGAGAAATTCTTCCTGATATCTAAATGTTAATAGGTTCCTTCATCACTTCTCCAGCAGTCACTTCATTGATTGATTCAAGTGCTGAGGGAATAAAGGCTAAAAATCTTTTTTTTTTTTTTTTTTTAGCATGGAATGAGCCTCCCTCCACAAACAGGAGGACCTACGAGTTGGCCAGAGAAAGTGTGGAATCTCCTTCACTGGAGATATTCCAGAACTGTCTGGACAAAATCCTGTGCAATGTCTTCTAGGATGAGCCTGCTTGAGCAGGGAGGCTGGGCCAAATAACATCCAGTGGTGCCTTCCAACCTTATCCAGTCTGTGTTTCTGTGGTCTTTATCCTTAGGAAGGCCCAGGAGACCAAAAACAAACTTTCCCTGGTCACTCACAGGGAGATGTGACCTTGTCCTCAACTTGGACATTGAGACTTGAGCCAACAGGGTGGAAAGAAATGAAAACAAAACTTCAGCTTCCAAACTAGTCATGGGATCATTCTAGAAGAAAGCCTGGTGACACAAGAGCAGCACTGTAGCTTATACAAACAGAAAAAAAAATAAAAACCAACTTTGCTGCCTAACAAAACACACTTCAAGTTTCTACAGAAAAACATTTCCACCAGACACAAAGAGTCCAGAGTTGAACCCAATCTGTCACTGTGTGAAGGAGTCCCAGCTTCAGGTTTCACATCCTCCTCTGGTCAAGCTACTTCTATGTCAATATTCAGAGTAAACTACTTTGTGTAACAGACCTCAATAGGTCTGATCACAATTCCCTGAGAACTGGATTTTCACTGGAAAATAAAGTTATATAGGAAAGATAATTTGTTACAGGAATTTGCAGCAATATGGAATATTTTAAGCCTTTCTCCCTCACATTTCCCCATTTGATACAGCTTCAAAGATTTCCTTGTTTATGCAAGAGAGAGTATTTTAACTGGAAATATTTGGAGAGTCTCAATATTATGAAAAAAATCTTGTTATTAAGTAGCTTATGACAACTTTCCTTGAATTGGAGACATCAAGTTCTACTCTCTGTTGAAGTGTCCTTTTTATCAAAAGTCATCACCATGCTCTTCATAGAATCATCAAATGGTTTGGGTTGAAAGGGGACCTTGAAGATCCTCTTGTTCCAGCACACCTTCCCTAGATTGTGACTCAAAACGCTCCTGCTTTAAAAAAAAAATAAAAGCTTTTAGCAGTCTTAAGAGTTTGGTCCTTTGAAAAGTGAGAATAGTTGTAAAGTCAGCACTTTTTATGAAATGCAAAACTGTTCCCATTGCCTGAGGTAAAAATACATCTGATGAGAAGTCTACAAGAATAATTCTTCCTACCAGATATCCTTTCAAGAGAGTACCAGTTGTCCCAAAAACAGCATCTTGAAAATTGTACTCTTTGGGGCTTTTTCATCTGTGGAAGATTTACAAAAGGAAATATCTGAGTTTCTTTCCATTCTGATAAATCAAAGGGACAGAAAATCACATTATGGAGACAGAGCCAAAGAAAAGGACCTTTGACTTAATGGTCGTGGAGGTCTTTTCCAACCTAGAGGATTCTGTGACATTGAAAGCAGTGAGGCAGCGACATCTTGAGGAAATCCCTGCTCACTCAACCCTTCAGTGTCACTCCAGGAGTTATGGAATAAGGGATCTCAGGTTCTTGTCTGTCTTATTGATCCATTGTCTTGTCTCAGTATGTCACCTATTTATGTATTTTTAAATTCACCTTTAAAGAGCCCTTAAAGGAGTTCAAGTACTTTTTATGAATTATAACTCATATAAAGTCATTCCTACAGATTCAAACCTTTTTCCCAGCACTCTTTCCCCGTTGTCCATCTCACCATGGGGAAACAAGAGAAGACTAAGCAGAGAGTTAAAGATCCTGATGACCAGTCCTGATGGCTCAGTTTCGGTTCCCCACAGCCAGGTGTTTCAACAGAATCAACAAAAAAAACTCACTGGCATAGTGAAACAAGTCCATTGAGAGCCGTCAAGATGGTGGGAGAGTTGGATATGGGGGATGTGAAGAGACATGGGGAGAAATTTGGTTTAGTAAATCTGAGGAAGAACATACTAAGGGATTTTATCCCTCCTAACAGCTACTTACCCTTCCAAAGGGGTTTTGGGACGAGAAGAATTGATACCCAGACATGAAGCTACATCTGGGGTGCCCACTATTCCTGTCAAATTTGCAAACATAGGATAAGGGAAAGATGAAGTTATACTTTAAAGAAGCATCACTTTGAAGATACTTTGAACACTCATCCAGCAAGGAAAGACCACTCTGCCATGGCTCACCCACTGCCCTTCAGCAGGGATTTGGGGTACAGAGTTACTGAGTGGGAGGGCAAAATGAGGTGCCCATCTCACACCCCCAAAGAGGGGGCATCCTGACCCCGGTGTGATTTGAACACACAGCCTTCTGATCTGGAGTCAGACGCGCTGCCATTGCGCCACGAGGTCAGGGATGGGGCAACATCTGCTCAAATATCATCCTGGAATTTGGGGCATTCCTTGAGGGAATGGGAATTTTGCTTCGCCTGACAGAGGAGTGGCACCATCGTTGTCTGTCTTGCCTTGCTAAACAAAGAGGGCTCTAAATGAGATACTTCAGAGGAAAAGGCCAAAAAATGGCCACTGCCCAGAGCAGCCCTGCAGAGCTTCTCCTGGATGTGGTGTCTCCAGAGAGACAGGAAAAATGGTGTCCCAGTGTTGGAACCCTGGTTACTGAGAATTTGAGACTTTCTGTGCTGACAGATACTGGCCCCCAAGAGAAAACTGCATTTGACCCGAGTCTGTGGAGAAGGCATCCAAAATTGAATGACAGAACTGGGATTATGGGTGTGTAGTTTGAACAGAAGTGTGTGATATCACATAGTAGAAAATTTGAGTTTAAGGTTTTGGAATATAGTAATATATGTAAAACAAGATAGAGGTTTTAGAGCAGAAGCTAGTCCATCTTCTTTGTGGAAACCAAGGACACTGAGAATATTTCTCTGTCTGCTCTGGGGTATTCTGACCCCCAGGGGAGCGCTGACTTTGACCCTCATTCATGGAGAAAACTTCCAAAGCCTCAAGGTAAACTAGAGACCACAAAAGTGAGAAATAGATTGCAGAGATTGTAGAGAGTAGAGTAGAATGTCACATGGGTGAGAAATTTAGGTTTTAGGATTTTTAGTATGTTATGAATGGATTCAAGATGGAGGGTACAGGGTATTATCTCAAGTTCCTTTCTTCTTTCTTCTTCCTCTTTCTTCTTGAGTTTATGTGGTATTTTTTAATTGGGTAGAAAAACCCCACATTGCGGGTCTTTAGGGGTCAGTTATTGGGTTAGAAAGGAAAATAATTTAGGTGTCACTCCTTAATTGGGTAGCTTAATTTTTGATTAGACTTAAAAGGCCTTGTTGGCCATTTTTGTGCTGTTTTTCCTGCATGCAGAGTCTGGTGCAGACAGTGTGCTGAAGTTTTGATAAGATAAGAATAAACAGAAGCTGAAGACCAATAAAGTCCAATGCATCTCTCGTTCCTGACTCAGAACTGCTCCAGGAGGGTTTCCCCTGCCAGGGGAGCCCCCAGGGAGTTGCCCAACTTGGGGCCCGCAGACTCACACTTCTTCACCTTCTTTTTCATAGTATTATGTCATTAGATTAAAAAAAACCCACGTTGTGAGCCATGAGTAGTTAGTTATTAAGTCCAAAATAAAAATAAGTCAAGTGGCATTTCTTAATTAAACAGTTTATCCTTACAAAACCTTATAGAGAGAAAGACACAGCTCCATCTTTAGTTTTTTGAAATAAAATACTGTAGAACTCACAGTATGTAAAACTATGATATAGTTAAGAACTAATAAACATCTGAGTCCAAACATGAAATACCATCTCATGCATTTAATCATAACCTTAACAAAAAAATAAGCAAAAAACTCCACAGCCCAGCACTTCCTGGGGATCAAGGCCCATTTCACCTGGAAGATGCATGGATATCAAACCCATGATTCCCAGGTCACAGGTCATAACCAAAGTGCAGGACAAAGCAGAGAGATGTGGTGGGTGTCTGCTGCACTTTGCCTCATGAGGAAGCTGAAGGGAGTGAAGGCTTTCTGTGAAAAGTGGAAAAAGCTTCTCAGCTGCAGGCTCAGTTGCTCCTGGGCAACCTGGATTATCTCCATGTGATATTTCCCTGGAAGACCAGGGGAGGTGGTACTGTCAGTCCTGAAGTGTTTAAGGACGATGGTTCCGTGTAAAAGGATGGAAATAGAGAGAGGTTCCTGATGAACAGGATGAGGAGTTTTTTCAAGAAAAGAGTAAAGAAGAGTTTGGTCCATCCCATCTCAGAGGCCAGGTGAGAATGTTCCTGAAATAAAGGAAGAATGTGATGATGGCTGGAGACAGGGACCATGGACTTCCCAAGGGCAGAGCGCTCTGGGAAAATACAATTTCTTCCTTGATGGCCAAATGGACACTGAGGAACATAATTTATCTTGATTTCAGTTTCACCTCTGACAAGGTATCCCAGACATGTCCCTGCAGCAGGACACACACACAGAGCAGCTGAGTTCAACCCAAAGGCAAAGCAAAGGGCCGGGAACAGGCACTGAGGGCCTTGGGGTCAGGAGTTGGTGGTCCAGGGGACCCTTCACTGCTGGATGCTGAACTGGGTGTGGTTTGGGGGTCTCTCTGGTGGGAGCAGAGGCTGTTCCACAGAAGGAAGGACACGGCCAGCCTGGCGGGGACATGGGAATGACGAGGGGACAGGGCCAGTGGCGCAATGGACAACGCGCCTGACTACGGATCAGGAGATTGCAGGTTCGACTCCTGCCTGGCTCAACACTTTTAGCCCACCAAAATTCCTCCTGCTCCCTTTGTGAGCACCTCCCTTCTCCTGACCATCATCCACCCTTCCTCAAGCTCCTGATGTCCTGTCCCACACTCCAAAAGGAGCAGGGCTGGAGCCCACACCAGCACCATGGGCAGCACAGCAAATCCCTCAGCGGAATGCAGGTACCTCCTGAACTGCTGTCCCACAGCCAGGGCAGAGCCAGCACTCCCAGGATGTGCTGGCACCTCGTGTGCCCTGGTCCCCAGCCCCCTCCAAGGCTCACACTGGCCTTGCTGCCCTTTGTCAGTGCTTTGACAAGTTCTACTCTGGAAGCAGTGCCCTGCTCACAGCTTTGATGTCACAAAATGATGTTCCTGTGATGGTGATGTTGGAGAGATGGAAAAAAGCCTGGAAGGTTAAGAACCTCAGGAGGACAGCTGTCCCTAGTCACCTCCACCACCAGTTTCAGGGTGATCCAGGCAGGACTTAAACCTGAAGTCTCCTGATCCTGATCCATAGTTAGGTGTGTTCACAGTCCATTGAGGAACTGGCCCCAGCCTCTGATTTCACCTGCTGTCCTCACTTCAGGACCACCTGGATTTATTGGTTGTTAAAGGGAAGTGGCAGGATTTCACCTTGCTCCCACCTGTCCATTCCATGTCAGCCTTGTGCTCCTCAGCTGTGGTCCCACCAGTTCCACCACCCAGGAGAGGAGATGCCTGTACTGAGCTCCAGGCTCAGCTCAGCTGCTGTGGAAGGTTGGAGGGCACATCCTGCCTTCCTATGGGATGTGTAGTTAAACTTCCCAGGCTTTATAGAATTCTCTGGAGCTCTGGTGCCCAGTGGAGGGGAAAACTTAGCCCAAGCCCACCTCCACTTGCTCCTGCCTGGTGACAGAGTGGTGGGCAGGTGAGCTGTAGCAAGATCTTGCTTGATGGCAAACTGGTCTGGGCTACCCTGCACATGGACACCTTCGACCTTCCTGGCCCAAGCCACAAACACAGTGAAGGTACAAAATAGTGATGACAGGACCATGAACGTGCAAATATGGGATGAAGCAACAAAAGAACATGGAAACAGGAATTTTACATCAAATAACAGTGATTCGTGTTGGAAATGACATGTGGCAGTCTCCAGTCCAGACTTCTGCTTCATTTATGACGTGAAGATCAGGACTGCATTCTCAGACTGAATATCTCCAAGGATGTAGAGGCCACAGCCTCTCTGGGCTCCTCTCTTAGTGATTTGCCATCTCACAGAGCATTTTTTTCACCAGTGTGTCCAGTCAGAGCCTGCCTTGATGCGAGGGAAGTTCTGCTATGCAGGAAGCTCATCAAGAAGGGACAACACCAGAGAGAGGCGGGTCACAATGGGGGAAGATGTCCCCTGTGACCATCAATATGACAGCCAGGCTGTGGGCAGGAAAATTGCGAGCCAGGCAGGAGTCGAACCTGCAATCTCCTGATCCGTAGTCAGGCGCGTTGTCCATTGCGCCACTGGCCCAGCCTTTCCAGGGCTCTGGGGGCTTCCCATCGCTGGATGGGCTTTGTGACAGAATTAATTAAATCTAGGAAAAATAGATTTAGGAGATCCCTGGGAAGCAGGTGATCTAATCCCTGCTCAGGGAACAACAGTCTTTGACATCAGGTTGTAGTCAAACCTTAAAAAACTCCATAGATGGGAACTCCAAAGCTTCTCTGGGACCTTTTCCTAGTCTGAGACCATTGCTGTCACATACAGAACTTGTCAAGGCACTGACACAGGGCAGCAAGATCAATGTGAGCCTTGGAGGGGGCTGGGGACCAGGGCACACAAGGTGCCAGCACATCCTGGGAGTGCTGGCTCTGTCCTGGCTGTGGGACAGCAGTTCAGGAGGTACCTGCATTCTGCTGAGGGATTTGCTGTGCTGCCCCTGGCGCTGGTGTGGGCTCCAGCCCTGCTCCTTTTGGAGTGTGGGACAGGACATCAGGAGCTTGAGGGAGGGTGGATGATGGTCAGGAGAAGGGAGGTGCTCACAAAGGGAGCAGGAGGAATTTTGGTGGGCTAAAATGTTGAGCCAGGCAGGAGTCGAACCTGCAATCTCCTGATCCGTAGTCAGGCGCGTTGTCCATTGCGCCACTGGCCCTGTCCCCTCATCATTCCCATGTCCCCACCAGGCTGGCCGTGTCCTTCCTTCTGTGGAACAGCCTCTGCTCCCACCACAGAGACCCCAAACCACACCCAGTTCAGCATCCAGCGGTGAAGGGTCCCCTGGACCACCAACCCCTGACCCCAAGGCCCTCAGTGCCTGTTCCCGGCCCTTTGCTTTGCCTTTGGGTTGAGCTCAGCTGCTCTGTGTGCTCTGTGTCCTGCTGCAGGGACATGTCTGGGAGACCTTGTCAGAGGTGAAACTGAAGTCAAGATAAATTATGTTCCTCAGTGTCCATTTGGTCATCGAGGAAGAAATTGTATTGTCCCAGAGCGTTCTGCCCTTGGGAAGTCCATTGTCCCTGTCTCCAGCCATCATCACATTCTTCCTTTATTTCAGGAACATTCTCACCTGGCCTCTGAGATGGGATGGACCAAACTCTTCTTTACTCTTTTCTTGAAAAAACTCCTCATCGTGTTCATCAGGAACCTCTCTCTATTTCCATTGTTTTATATGGAACCATCGTCCTTAAACACTTCAGGACTGACAGTACCACCTCACCTGGTCTTCCAGGGAAATATCACATGGAGATAATCCAGGTTGCCCAGGAGCAACTGAGCCTGCAGCTGAGAAGCTTTTTCCACTTTTCACGGAAAGCCTTCACTCCCTTCAGCTTCCTCATGAGGCAAAGTGCAGCAGACACCCACCACATCTCTCTGCTTTGTCCTGCACTTTGGTTATGACACCCAGTTCAGCATCCATCAGTGAAGGGTCCCCTGGACCACCAACCCCTGACCCCAAGGCCCTCAGTGCCTGTTCCCAGCCCTTTGCCTTGCCTTTGGGTTGAACTCAGCTGCTCTGTGTCCTCTGTGTCCTGCTGCAGGGACACATCTGGGAGACCTTGTCAGAGGTGAAACTGAAGTCAAGATAAATTATGTTCCTCAGTGTCTACTGGATCACCAAAGAAATCATCTCATCAAAGAAATCTATTCTTTTGGTCTAGGGTGGTCTGCCTTTGGTAAATCCTTGGCCTTCCAGTCATTTTCATTTTTTATCTCTCCTCCTTCTGGGCATGGCTTTCTGAAGGATTGTTTCCATACTGTTCAGGCATACTTAGAGCTGCGATTGCCCAGACTGCAGCTTTCCAGATGTTCTGAATATTCTTGAAAAAAATCTTTCCTTATTTTTCATCAGAAACCTGCCCCTTTTTCCATAATCCTAAACAGAGTAATTGCTCTTGATTCCCCTCCAGATATCCCCTGGACTGACCATACCACCCCATGTTACCTTGCCAGACAAGCTTGTGCAAGTTCTCCAGAAGTTACTGAGCCTGTAATTAAAACATTTCCTGCATTTTCCTGAGGAAGGCATTAACTCTTTTTTGAGGTAAATTATGGCAGACCCCCACCACAACACAACCTCTCTGCTTGCATCCTGACCTGTAATTTCCATCCAGCACAGCTCCCTGCTCAAAGGAGAGCTCTGGACATCATGTTCCCTGTATAGTCTAGTCCGTGCCCCTACACCCTGAGCCCTGCCCTCTAACTTGGTTTGAAAGGACAAGTGTCTGCTAAGGAAGGCAGCAGCTTTCCTTGAAATGGAAACTGTAAACCCCCTCCCTCCGAATTTTTAAAATTTTGGAATTAAGGGGCTCTCAGGCAAAGATATGGGAAGAGGAGTAACAGTGCTTTACTAGGAAAATTAAAAATACAAATGCAATGGTACAAAAAGAAAACAATCCACTGTCAGAGTCAGAATAGGACCTGACACCCTGTGGGTCAGGGTGGTGGCAGCAGTCCCATTCCATGGTGGCTGTAGCCCTCCTGCAGTGCCTGCTGCAGTGTGGTTCTGTTGAAGCAGTGCTCCTGTAGAAGGGTGGAGTTTCCCTCTGAAGGTCCAGCGGTGGTGTAGATGGGCCTGGTCTTCCTCTGGGAATCTGAAGAAAGCTGCTCCTCTGGGAATCCAGTGGGAAAAGGTTACCTGTGGTGTTCCAAGAGTCAGATTATATCCAGATAGGAATGCTTGGCTCCTCCCCCTGGGTGGAGCATCTCCCAATGGGATGATGGAATTTTATCTGCCATGGCTCACTGGCCCATTAACAGACGATATCACCTCTGAAAGAAGATGGATTTTGGAAGATATAAAGAAAAGCTGCCCAATTAACAGAAGAGAACTGCCCCACCTCCAACAGATGGAAATAGGATACGCACCCCTAGCCTAAGACACCCTCCCACAGAACAGCCCTCTGAAAAGCAAAGGGGTGCCAGTGGTGCCCCAGCCTGACCCCGGTGTGATTTGAACACACAACCTTCTGATCTGGAGTCAGATGCGCTGCCCTTGCGCCACGAGGTCGGGGTGGAGGTGTCCAGAGGCCTAGGATTGGCCGCTGGGAATGTCCTTCCCACGGGGACCACCCCGCGGTGTCCCTGCACCCCCGGAGCTGGGCTCTGGCTATGGAGGGGCACCCTGAGGGGAGGGTGGCCAAGGCCTGGCCGCAGAGACCAGTCCAGGCTGCAGGATGAAGTGTGGGGTGGGATGAGGGGACCTGCAGGGTCCGTGAGGGCAGGAACCACGCTTAGGGATGCTCCAAGGGAGGATGGTGGCTCAGAGGGGAACACAGGGCAGCCAAGGTGGGTTTTGGCTGTGGACCCAGACAGAAATGGTTTGGTAGAGTAGAACGTGTGTGAGTTCAGGCCAGTCACAGCTCCTGATGTTCTGCCCCAGCCACAGCCCTGTGCTGCTGGGAGCAGCACCTGGAGCTCCTGCAAGGTGGGCAGGATGTCCCACCACTGCAGGCAAGGTCCACCACCAGCTACAGCTGCCCAGTCCTTTCCTCATGGGTCCTTAGAGCAAGGCTGCCATGGACAACAGTGTCAGTAAGGAGGTGAAGCCTCCCTTAGACCTCTCCATCTCCATTCCCAGCTCCATTCCCATCCCATGGGAGACATGCTGGAGGCAGTCTGCTGGGTACCAGGGTGTCTGGAGAGGGGCAATACAGGCAGGGGCTGTGGCCAGCAGTGCAATGGGCAAAGCACAAGGGAACTCCTCTCTGGCTCAACCTAATCCTGGTAAGAGCAGAGCTCTCAGTATTACTATAGTTACAGAGATTTTAAAAGTTTTAGAAGTGTTATAAAATTATATGAAGTTAGGAAACATTAATTTTAAAGTAAAACACTTACCTTGAATGTGACTCCCTCTAAAACTTCAATTCCTCTGTAAAATTTGATGACTGAAACCAAATCCTATCCCTGCTGTCCAAACATATTAATAATCATCACACATTTTGCCCATGAATTACCAGTGCTGAGGATGGAACAAAGAAGCATTTCCTCTTGATTTTACCTTTCCACCTGAGCAAATCCTGCACCACGGGGTCCCTTCCTCCTCCAGCACCTTTTCCCACAAGAGGGAGCCAGGAGCCAGCTCATGGGCTCCATGAGCTGTAAGTCAGGCTGGAGATAAATTTTGTGCAGTGAAGAATCCTCCATCCCAAGGTCAGACTGGAAATTCAGCTTGTTTCCTTCCTGGAAATGCAGTGTTTTTTCCTCCACAGCCCAAAGTTTTCGTCTATTCAACCCCAATGGTTGCTATTAGATTTCCCACCTGTATTTTTCCCTGCTGACCACCCCCAGTGGCAATTCTCCTCATCCATCCCACTCTGTCACTTGTTCCTTACAATTTTGTAAATAAAGTCAGGTTTTCAGCCAGTTTCGGGACCACTTCAGCCCAGTTGCAGTTAAATCCTGCTGATTTACATTGCCATAACACAAATCTGGTTAAGTGCTTTGGGAAAACAGATGATTCCCATAAATCTAGCATCCCAGGTATTATTTTCAGAGCTGTCCCATGACTGAAAATGAAGGAGAAGTCTTCCCTTCTCATAAAAACTTCCTTACTCCAAGGGATGTGAGTCCCAGGCCAGATCAGCAAAACCCTCTAGGGATGGGGACTTCACCACTGCCCTGGGCAGCTGTGCCAGGGCTGGACAGAGCTTTGTGTGAAGGAATTGTTCCCAGTTTCCAATCTAAATCTCCCCTGGTGCAATTTGAGGTGATTCCTATTGCTCTGTCCCTTGTTTCTTGGGAGAAGATCCCGACCCACCCCTGGCTGTCCCCTCCTGTCAGGAGCTGTGCAGAGCCACAAGGTCCCACCTGAGCCTCCTTTTCTCCAGGCTGAGCCCCTTTCCAGCTCCCTTGGCAGCTTCTCACAAGAGATCCTCAGGCGAGGGGCAGAATTTAGACTGTGTGTAAGCATTTCTTTTGTGATCCATATAAAACATGTCTCTGACCTGGAATAACCTGGGAAAGTAACCTGGGAAAGGAGGAGAGCAAAAAAGAGCAAACAGTGCAGAGGCATCGAGGCAGACTGAGATGGTACTTGAATTTCAAAGAGTTGGGTTTTTCTAGGATAATTTCTGGTCCTAATTTGAAGGGGACTGTGATTGTATAATCACTTGTGGTCTGATAGTGAGGACATTCTGGGAATGATGAGGAGGGATTTTGAATGTGAGATTACTGGGCAGTCACTCCTCTTCCATCGTTGTCAACACACTTGAGGTTTTGAATTTGTACTTCACCTCCCATGGAAATAAAATTTTTAAAGGCAAACATTTGCAGACCATCACTACAGAGCAAGACTTTTTTTGGTGTGATTTATAAAATAATTGTTGAGAAAGCTGCGTCTGCTCCAGTCTGACAGAGTACAATGACAGATCCTGTCTGAGAGCTGAGATGAATATCTCAGCTAGGATCCCCTTGGATTCAGTGGGAACCTGAGCCAGCTGAAGGGTTCTTGCTGCAGCCTTTGTTTCATCCCTGGAGTACCTGGAAATGGACACAAACACCTCTCCTTCACGAGCTGATGGCACCTGCAAATTTGCAATGGAAAGCAAACAAAGAAAGCAGGGAGGCAGACAGAGAACAATGCACATGGCTGAGGGAGAGGTTTGTATTGTTGATATCAAGGCTGCTGGGTCAGAACAACATCAATAAATACCTTGTACAGAAAGTAAGTAAAGGCTGAAGTGAATGATGGAGGGAGAACTGAGCTGTCAGCTGCCACTTCCATGTGTCTGTTGATATCATTCAAACTCTGTACAGACAAATGCTGAGGAAAACTCACGAATCTCATTTGTCACGTGCTCTCTGTGCACCAAAGCTGGAGGTGCTGCTGGTGACACCTGGAAACTGATAATCTGCACTTCATGTGTCATAGAAACATAGAATGGCAGAAGGGTTTGACTTGAAAGGGATCTGAAAAATCATCTAATTCCAAGTCCCTGCCATGGACAGGAACACCATCCACTTTGTTTTTCTTCGCAGAACCTTTCACAGAAAAAACCACAACAATTTTATATGTTTGTGTACATTAAAAATATACACACAAATGATCATTATAATTTATTTGTTTCTCTTGGGAGTAACTGTTGCATCACAGGACATGCAGCAGGATCAGAAGCTGTGGCTGCCTCATCCCTGGAAGTGTCCAAGGCCAGGTTGGACAGGACTTGGAGTAATCTGGGATAGGGAAAGCTGTCCCTGCCCATGGCAGGGGGTTGGACTGGATGATGTCTAATGTCCTTTCCAACCCAAACAATTCTATGATTCCATGATGATTTTACGATAGCCCAGCTGCCTTCTCTTCCACCAAATGATGTCTAATTTCCTCCAGTTAATCCATTACCAACCACATTGACAATTCAAGTTAATGATGCTCTCTGGGTGGATCGATACTGATAAGGGGCCCTTCCAGCAGCCTTCCCAGTGGTCAGGAAGGGAGGCACAGCTATTTGTCCCCTTGTTTTTGTGCCCCTGAGCCATTGTTCAGGTTGAGCCATGTACAGAGGTCAGGCTGTACCTGCTGCCTTCCCCTGCCACCCCCGCCAAGGTTCCCCAGACAGCCACAGCTGTTCCCACTGCCCTATAAATGCCGGAGTGCTCCCTCCTCTTCTGCTCAAAGGTTCTGGCATTGTGGCCCTTTCTCCACGCTGCAGCTGAGACCTTCCACCATGAAGCTCTTATCCTGCCTCATGGCTCTCCTGCTTTTCCTCCCCCAGGCTGTTCCAGGTAAGGGGCAAGCCCCATGCTGGGGTTTGCCTGTGTAGGAGGTACAGCTCGCTCATGTGGTGGTGCAGAATGTTTTCCTCAGCTCCTTTCCTTAGAGCAGTTCCCTATTTCACAGTCTAAATGCAGAAGTGAAAAATTAACCTATTGTCACCAGGTTAACCTATTGTAACCAGGTGTCACTCCAGAACCTCCCCACAGAAGCCTCTGCCAGGTCTTATGACTCTTTGAAATATCTTTATGCCACTTTTGGATGGTGGCACTGTGGAAATCACCTCCTCTTCTAACCCCAGGGTTAAGAATTGTCCCCTCTGTGTAGGTAGAAGAGAGCAGAGGTATTGTTCCCTGGCATTGTTCAGGTTGAACTGCACCACTGACTCCAGCTCTCTGAATATTCTGGTTGCCCTTTCTCAGCCCTTCTGATGCACTGATCATTTTTCAATTGTGTTTTTATCCTACCTGTTCTTCATGCTTAATGAAACCCCTCACCTTGAAGAAAGGCTTTTAGAGAAAGAAGGGACTGGGCAAACTGCTTGTTCCTGTTGTTAATTGAGCCAGATTCTGCTTTTGGGAGTTTTTAAAAGTTATCATTTTATCTTCAGAGCATGTGATGACCTTGCATGTCCCTTACATGTCCCTGCAGCACTGCAATCCCAGAACTCAGAAGCATCCAACGCTGGGCTGTTCCTTCCCATTACAGCATGAATGGCCAGGATATGTTCAGAAAATTGCCATCAACCTCTGTGTTTCACTCCAGTTGTACAAAAACTGTCCTTGATATGCTCTGAGATCCCATGAATTCCTCAACACTTCTAGGTTTTGAGGGATCCCTAACCGGGTTTCAGCAGGAGGAAGACCATGAGAATGGACTGATCCTGCAGCACAACTGGGAATCCCATTCCCCCTGCAGGTCCTGGCTTGCCCAGGGACACCTTGCGTTGTTTGGAATACCACGGCTACTGCTTCCACCTGAAATCCTGCCCAGAGCCGTTCGCTGCCTTTGGAACCTGCTATCGGCGCCGCAGGACCTGCTGCCTTGGTACGTGTGGGAGCCCTGCCCAGCAGGGCAAAATGTGGGGGAAATGGCTGAACTCAGCAAAACAAACTTGGCCTCCAAACCACAGAGTCACAGAACAGTTTGGGTTGGAAGGGAATTTAAGCTCATCCAGTTCCACCCCCAATTCCTCCTTCCCCCTGATAGTGGAAGGTGACCATGGGCAGGGACACCTTCCACTATCCCAGGCAGCTCCAAGCCCCAACCAGCCTGGCCTTTGACACTTCCAGGCACAGAGTCTAAGCCATCTCCTTCCACGTGGACCTGTGTGTTCCTCCACTGACATCAGTGTGGAGCCTTTGGGGCTGGCCAAAATGACCCAAAGCTCTACCTCCAACTGGGGAAATAAAATAAAAATTTTGCTCCACAGAGAGTCCTCCTTCCTTGGTAAATATTCCTATAATCATCTGTTGGGGGACTGCTGGCTGCACCCACCCTGCTGTGCTTAATAGGTGCCAACTGACCTCTTCCTTGTTATTTTATCTGAATCTTCCCAGAATTGCTTGTTTTTGGTGCTCCTCAATAGATAATCCTCAGTGTAAATCATTCATGAATATATACTTTAGAAACAACTGTGCTAATCTTAAAATTCCTCTGATCCATCATCCTGGATCTGTCTGTGGCCAGAAGTGGGTATTTCCTCGCAGTTACTCTGTGTGTGTAAAGTGACCACAACCATATCATTACATTTCCTTATATATCATTTGGCTTTCATGACATTGCAGCTCAGGATTTTTATATTGAGGCATCCTTGTGTTTAAAAGTCCTTACTGTTTTGGGTTTTTTTCCCCGGGTTAGGAATTCCTTCGATTTATATTAAAACCTCATCCCTCACAATTTTATTCAGTGCCACCTACTTGAAATGTAGTCATTCTGCTTCCATCTGTTTCACAGCTCTACAATATCCCTCCCTCATTTAAGTATTTTCCATGCTGGTGGGTCACAAATTCCTTCTTTTACAGAAGTGCTGTGATCAGCCCTAAAGTTCATCTTTGTGTCTTTGCTTTTGGGGACCAATTTTTGTGTATGAGATGGTTTGGATGGCAGTGTCAGGTTTGACTTAAACCCTCTGAATTGCAGACACGACATCCAACTTCCACATCTGCCAAGATGAGGGGGGCCATTGTGTGCCCCCAGAAGTCAGATGTCTGCAAGAGCAAGAGGGACTCTGCCCTCGCAGAGGATGGAAGTGCTGCACAGAAGTGTGACAAAAACCTCATGGGACTGCAGAAAACCATAGGAATGAACAGTCAAGAAAACAAACAAGTTTTATTCCAAGTGTTGTAGATGTGTCTGTTGTTCTCAGCATGCAAAGTGTGTAATTGACTAGAGGTGACATGTATCTTTATGTAAAGAAGGCAATAAATGATAAATAAAGAGGTATAACAGTAATTTATGGAAAGAGGCAGAATGTCTCTCTATTACATGCAGAATTACACAAAAATTTTCTGTTGTATCCTTGGAAACACCATCCCCCAATCCTTCTTACCAGCCTAATCTTATTTTCCATGTTGATTTTGAGCTTGGATGCTCTAGAGGACTGAGAAAAATTAATCACAGAATCCTTAAAGTTGGAAAAGGTCTCCAAGGTTATTGAGTCTAACCTGTGACCAGTGCCCACCCTGTCACCCAGACCAGAGCACTGGGTGCCACATCCAGTCATTCCTTGGACACTTCAGGGAGGGGCTGAGGGAGCTGGAAAGGGGCTCAGCCTGGAGAAAAGGAGGCTCAGGGGGCACTTTGTGGATCTGCACAACTCCTGTCAGGAGGGGACAGCCAGGGGGTGTTGGGCTCTGCTCACAGGGAACAGGGACAGGAAAAGAGGAAATGGCCTCAAGCTGTGGCAGCAGAAGGTCAGGTTGGACATCAGGAGGAATTTCTTCATGAAATGGGTGGTTAAGTATTAAAACAGAGTGCCCAGGGCAGAAGGAGTCCCCATCTCTGAGGGATTTAAAAGAGAGACAGATGTGGATTTTGGGGACATGATTTAATTGTGGCTTGGAAGAGCTGGGAAATGGTTGGACTCAATGACCTTGGAGGTCTTTTCCAACCTAGACTACTCTGTGATTCTAGTTACGTTGTTCTGTTTGGGTTTTTTTTTTAGGGAGAAAGGGGCTTTTAATTTTGCTCTTTAGCCTGTCAGTTGAAGATGTGTTCACAGAGCAATTTCATTACCACAGCTGAAGGGACAGCAAACAGCAGAGCCAGGCAGGGCAGCTGGAATATCACATTTTACAGCCAGAGCTGCACATTCACCACAGGTTTACTACCACAGGGTGCACTGCTGAACTAACAGCTCTTCCACCAGCCCTGTGTGCTCATCACACTCAGGAATGAAGCCTCTCAAATTCCTTGGAAGCCAAAGCTGGGGAAGAAAAATAACACCCAGGTTTCAGCTGGAGAAAATATTCACACAAGCTCGGATTAAAAATTCATCACTCCCAGCCTGCGTCCTTCTCCTCCTTGCAGATCCTCAGGAGTCTTCCCTTGCAGGTTGCTTCCCTCCTCCCTGTCACTTCCAAGGGATTTTGCTGGCTGCAGGTGAAGGGCAGAGGATGCCTCTGAGCTTCTTTTTTCCAGCTGGAATTCTACCAGCCCAAAATTCCAGCTGCCAAGGAGAGGAATCAGGAAAACCAGTAACCAGTGAACGTGAAAAAAGTCAGCATTGTTTGGAGCAGCAGCGCTGGGTCAGAACGACACCAAAGGGTTTCTCAGCAGCAAATGTTACTCCAGGACTGGAATAGAATTAACTCCTGCCTACTCCCCCCCTTTTCCCAGATGCCATCCAGCATGCCAGCAGCACACAGAGGCGTCTGTGAAATCTCACTGCCAGCCCTGAGATTTTCCAGCAGAGCCAAAGGAATGGGGATCCTTGTGCTTGTTTTCATATTCATCTCCCTGACCCAGCATGGTAAGAGCAGGATGGCCTGGGGTGGTGAGCAGGATATCTGGGAACAGGGATGATCTTTCCTCACTGTGAGAGGTACTGAGGAAAGAGGTTTTCTGGGTGAGAGAGTGGGTGAGGTACTTTGGGAAAATTCATTATTTAATCCCTTGGGGGTATACAAAAGATGAGCAGGCAGGAAGCTGTGAAAATGGGGCACACCACTGAGTTGGGAGAAGCCCTAAAGGAGAAACCCCGTGCTCTGGAAAAATGTTCCTGCCTTTTCTCAGGCTGCACTTGCCTCCTTGACAGGGAGAGGACAACCCTTCTGACCTCCCATGCACAGTCTTTGCCAACATCCTGAAAAAAACAACTCCATGAGAAAACATTCCTTGAGGGAAGCTGGCTTAGCAGCTTGGGATTTCTAGCATGGATATCTGGACCTGTCTGTGGGATGGGGATCCCGGGTGTGCCCAAGGTGCCCAGGCTCTCTGTGTGCTCCCAGTGATGGTTTGGCTGGCTGGAAACATGGTGCCAGAAATAATCCCACTCGTTTTATCCATGAATTTGCTGCTCCCTTGTCCAGGAGATGCTCATGGACCAGACAGCTGTAACCATGGAGGGGGCTTGTGCCGGATGGGAAGCTGTGTTTCTGGTGAATATGTGGCTCAGTACTGCTTTGAACCCATCATTCTCTGCTGCAAAAATCCGACACCTGCCACCACAGAGAGCTGAAGGTTTCCAAAGGAAACTGCAGCACCTGCAGAGCTGCAGGCTCCACTGGCACAGCACCAGCAGCTGCTGGGAAGGAGATTTTGTGATTTCTGTGACTGTTGCTCCCCTGGGAGAATATGGCTGTGGATTCACTCGTGGACTCCTGAACACTTTGGTTTTGCTGTAGCTTTTTAGGAAACACTGTGACAAGAAGAAGATGGGGCCACCCATATCTGTGGCCCTTTTGGTACTCTGATTGTTATCTGGCATGCCCAGGTGGAAAATTGCCTTTCTGCTTTACATGAAACCAATAAACCTGAGGTTTAACAAAGCAAGTGCCCACCTGTGAGTCAGCAACGCTGCCAGTGGTGGGATGGCACCGATCAGGAGTGACCCCAGCATTCCTCACCTCCCCAGAACACCAGGGGAACTCTGTCCCTTCATTTCCCTGACCAGAGAAAACAGCTGCAATGGGGAAAGTTGTTTTGGCATCACTTCTGGTGCAAAAGGTGCCTGCTTTGACATAAGGGTGAGTGTGGTCTGTGCTTCTCAGGCAAGATCCATCCCCATTAACTTCCCCTTTCCAGGCTGGGCCAGGTTCTCAAGGCAGTTATGGAATCCCAGAATGGTTTGGGCTGGAAGGGACATTAAAGACCATCTCATTGCCATGGGCAGAGACACCTTCCACTGTCCCACGTTGCTCCAAGCCCTGTCCAGCCTAGCCTTGGACACTTCCAGGGATCCAGGGGCAGCCACATCTTCTCTGAGCAACCCGTGCCAGGGCCTCCCCACCCTCACAGGGAACAAGTTTTTCCCCTAAGATCCCAGGTTTACTTATTTTAAACATGGTAAGGAGGGGATCTGAAAGCTCTGGGCAGCCTGTCAGGGCTCCACTGCCCTGACAGGCTGCCCTCTCCACCCATGGGCTGCATTTCTGGTACAACTCCTTTCCCTTTTGGTCACCCAGCCCCAAATAAATCAGTCTCTTTTTCCCCTTTGTCCCTTCCTATGAGCTCCCTCAGCCTAAATGAATTTTCTGTCCAAATCCAGTCTCAACCCTTCTGTGTCTTTTCAACATAACATTTTGGCACTTCCCTGCCTCTGTCAGCTCCTGGTCTCCCTTTCCAGGTAAAATATTTCTCTCTGGGTCAATCATTTCTGTGAAAGCAAGGAAACAATGATGTAATGAGAGAGCTATGCCAACCAGCTGAGGCACTGCTCAGACAGAGCCAGGGAAAAGTCCTCCCTGGGAGATGAAATTCTTGTTCTGATGAATCAAACAGGAAAATTCCCACTGACCTCACCAGGGTCAGGCCCCACTGCCAGAGGGATGGCAATTCATTCATCCAAGAGTCTCCATTCACTGATGAGCAGCCCTCTCCTCGGGTCATCACTGGGACTCTGGCACACACAGGAGATGCCAGGTCTCCCCTGGAGATCCCCTGCAGCTGGATGAACCCTCAGGAGAGCCAGATAACCCCAAGCTGGCTGTTGGCTTGGGAACTGATTGTGAAGACATGGACAGGGCTGAATCCAGAGCCAAATTCCTGCCCATTTCCAGCCCATCCCTCTGACGCACGCTGATGTACGAGGACAGCACGGGGAGGGGTTTGAACCAGGGCACCTCTCCAAATCAAACAATTTATTTCTCACACTCATCCACAGGGTTCATTGTTCGTGCCCTGCATCTGGGAATGCTCAGCCATGGTGGTTACAGCCTGGTTTCTTAGGAAAGTGAAGAGTGGGCTCTTGCAGCTCACCTTGCACATCTGCCTCGTAGTCACTGGGCATCCTGCCCTGCTTTGGACCTGCTGGCCAGTCCACCAGGAAAGGTGGAAAAGCTCAGTTTATAGGGAATATTGTCCCTCTGGCACTAATGGGCATGCTCACAGGCATGGTCTTGCGTGCCACTGCTGGGTGTTCCCTTGTTTGGTGATCTGGATGGAAATAACCTTAAAAAAAACCCAAACCACAACCCAAAAAAAAAACCCAACCAAAAACCCACAAAAAAAACCAAACAAACAAAACAACAACAACAAAAAACAAACAAACAAACAAAAACACACAAAAAACCAACACAAAAATCCAAAAACAAACAAACAAACAAACACCAAACCAAAAATCCATCCTTATTTCTGCCCAATGATTAAGACAAACTTAATTCCCTTCCAGTCTCACAGAGAGGGAGGAGAGAGAAAGCACCAAGGATAGGGTGAATGGTGGAGAATGGCACTTCCAGACCTTATAAAACTGTTTTTTCATGTTGTTTCTTTACTCTTGAACTCACCTGGGGCAAAGCAGCCAGTTCAGCTCACGGGGAGTTGCTCGAACAGCAGCACGAGCTGCTTTGGTGTAAGTGTATGACAGGGAATGCTGCTGAAATTAATTAAGCCCTAGTTGGAGTATCCTGTAACCCTGGGGAGGAGGAAGAATCATAAAATTGTCATACAATCCCAGAATGGTTTGGGTTGGAAGGAGCCTTAAAGATCATCCAGTTCCAGCACCCTCTCAAGGGCAGGTGAAAGACAAATGAAGAAGAGGATTTTAGTAGGAAATTCTTGAGCTTTGAACTCCAGCTGTCTGTACCTGACAGATCTCAGAAGGATGCAAACTGAGGCTCTTTAGTACTACCTTAGCAGACCTATACCTAAAGGAGATGCAAAAATCATCCAGACATCTTGGAATGTACGTTTGGGATCTCTGCAGCCACACAGACAGCCAGGATAGAGCTCTACCCTCATGCCAGGTCTGTCAA